AAATCTTTGAAAGGATATAGAAGAAATAGCAATAAAAAAATGCCATAATGTAATACTTTTTACATATATATATATATATATATATATATATATATATATATATATATCTTTGCAGATAAGAAATAAATACAGAAAAAAATAAAACTATGAGTCAAGTTGAAATATAATCTTTTACAGGATGTAAAATACAACAAGAATAAAAATATCATAATGTAAGATTTATATATATATATATATATATATATATATATATATATATATATATTAAGAAATGGACAAAGTCCGACAATTTATTTATTAAAGACATTTTTTTATAGATACAAGTATTTAAGTAAATGCTCTGTTTATAATAAACAGTATTAAATAACATTTACCGGCCTGAATGTCCGAGAAATTTTCATAGAAAATATTCGTTCTTTGACAGGATTTGAACCTGCATCCTATACAGAACCGTCATTTACGCTGTCATGCCTTACCGATCGGCCACAAAGAAGCGTTCGGCAGACAAGGTCGAATTTACTGCTTATAAACTTCAATATATATATATATATTATATATATATATATATTATCTGTATATATATATATATATATGTTATAGTCAATGATGAAATTATTTGTACAGCCATCAATGTTGAATTTTTTCATCCATTTCTCAGAATCTAATGCCCTTATGATGCCAGGTTTTTTATATGTTAATAAGCACAAAAAAATGGAATATAAAACTCAATTTTCAGAACAATAATTTAAATACAACAAATTCTAAAGGCTAATTATGCAAAATAGCAAAAGACAACAAAATTATTTGTACAGAATGAAAAATAGAAATGAACTGAACAATTTTCACAGAATTCATTATAAATACATCCACATCAGCAGAAGTGTTAATCATATGCTTTTTTCATTTTCTGTTTCTGACATCAAAATCAGAATAAAAAAAATAGATAATGTTTTTCAACTCTTGCATCAAAGGCACCCACCCCCAAAAAAAACTACAACTCATCCTTTATTTCTTTACATACAGAACAAATTAAAAAGTCATTTTGTTTCACATTGTGACCCACAATTCTTTGTTAAAAGAGAAATGTATCTACTAACAAATGACCTAAATTTGTATTCTCACAGATTAAACAAATGATAGAAAAATTTATCAGCGTCATCTGTTTGTTGTTTTGATAACATTTGCTGTTAATATTTTGCTGAAAAAAAAAAAAAAAAAAGAAACAAAAATCTTTCACCCACATACAAACTACGATAGAGAAATTGTCATCTAACTTATTCAAAAATGAAAATAACACTGACATCTCACTTTAACAGATATATTTACCAAAATTACACAAAAATATCTTGAAATACTAAAGAGTAAATTTATACAATGAAATCGCCATTGTTTTCAACCACAGCCTCCAGAGGTATATATATATATATATATATATATATATATGATAAATACAAATAAAATTTTTCACTCAGCAGATTGATGTTATATTCAGATTATATATATATATATATATATATATATTTTCTTTGTTAAATGACACCAAAAAGCTTTGACTGTCCAGCACTATCAGGATCAGAGTGTAGTATAGGATTGCTTTGTGAAAAGAGCAACACACACAGATACACATATATACAGTGTGCAACGAGATAAATTTTCCTATAAATTACCCAATAATGAAAACAACACTGACATCTCATTTTAACAGATATTCACTCCTGGTCAAAATCTTAAAACCAGATTGAAAAGGGTTAAAAAATAATATAAAATACTGTTACTCTAATCGAAGTATATTTTCAAAACATTTACATTTAATTAGAAAATGTAGTTTATCAATAAATAAGTGATTTAAGATTTTAATCGGGTATTGAACTCACACTCATTGGGTACTGTCACTGGATCTAACCAATGCTTTTATCCATGTGTCCTTGAGGACACAACTACCACTTGAAGAAGGCCGGAGCGTACGATGACCAAAATGTTGTGATAAATATGGTGACAAAGATGAGGAAAATAGCCCAAATAATGTAAATAGTGTACATAATACCTCATCTCAGAAATATAGACAGATACTGAAAGGCCGAAACATGGTAATAAATATGGTGACAAAGATGAAGACAATCATCCAAATAATGTAAATAGTGTACATGATACCTCATCTTAGAAATATAGGCAATTATTTGTTTCTCTCCTTTGCAACCAAATGCCCCTCATTATAACAACTGGTAACACCTAGCAATTGATTTAATATAATCACTTCACTTCACGTCGATGGTAAATTGAGCCTACGAATACACAAAAAGTTTCTCTTCTGGAGGTTAGCATCAGCCATGTTGATGACAGGCAAAAAAAAATTCTCTATGGTGATTAAACGAAAGCAGTTTTGTTTTGGAGGTATTAACCTTTTGAACCCTGCCCTCCTGCTGAGTACAGATTCTTCGACACTCGTCCCCTGTTGTTCATCTCATAAAACTGCACACTAGAAATGCACATGACTCTGGTTAGTATACTGGCTGCCTGGTTATATGCATTTGCACACAGCAGCTGGTACACTGGCTTCTTGAGTTCAAAGGGTTAAAATTTACAAGCCATTCCTTGCCCCAGTTAACCACTGATTAGACATACTTTACAAGAGTAGTTGCCAGTTTTACTTTGTTGGACCTGTCGGACTTGCTACTAAGACTGGAGTAAATAGCTGCATCATCAGTATAAATATCTAGTCGTGAACTAATGACATCGGGAAGGTCATTGATGATGATAATAATGTAGGTCAAAGGTTAGAACCATGGGAAATCTCTGCATTAATGTGAAATGAACAAGAACTGTGTCCATTTAACACAACCTTCATTACACAATTTCCTTGGAACACTTGGATTAAACCGAATATATGTCCAGATATCGTAACACTTGAACTTGTGGAGAAGGCCTGCATGCCAAACTTTGTCAAATGCCCACAGATCAAGCTTTAATGTTCTTATCTAAAGCTTAATAGGAAAATTCACAGCTGTTAACACATTAGTGGTAGACCTTTGGGAAATAGAAGCCATATTGTTTACACAATTTATTAGGGACACTTGGATTAAGACAAATATTTGTCCAAATGTCGTAATACTTGAACTTGTGGAGAAGGCCTGTATGCCAAACCCCGTCAAAAGCCTTTGAGATATCTAGGCCCACAGATCAAGCTTTAATGTTCTTATCTAAAGATTAATAGGAAAATTCACAGCTGTTAACACATTAGTGGTAGACCTTTTGGGAAATAGAAGCCATATTGTTTACACAATTTATTAGGGGACACTTGGATTAAGACAAATATTTGTCCAAATGTCGTAATACTTGAACTTGTGGAGAAGGCCTGTATTCAAACCCCGTCAAAAAGCCTTTAGATATCTAGGCCCACAGATCAAGCTTTTAATGTTCTTATCTAAAATTTAATAGGAAAATTCACAGCTGTTAACACATTAGTGGTAGACCTTTGGGAAATAGAAGCCATATTGTTTACACAATTTATTAGGGACACTTGGATTAAGACAAATATTTGTCCAAATGTCGTAATACTTGAACTTGTGGAGAAGGCCTGTATGCCAAACCCGTCAAAAGCCTTTGAGATATCTAGGCCCACAGATCAAGCTTTAATGTTCTTTCTTATCTAAAATTCACAGCTGTTAACACATTAGTGGTAGACCTTTGGGAAATAGAAGCCATATTGTTTACACAATTTATTAGGGACACTTGGATTAAGACAAATATTTGTCCAAATGTCGTAATACTTGAACTTGTGGAGAAGGCCTGTATGCCAAACCCCGTCAAAAAAGCCTTTGAGATATCTAGGCCCATCAAGCTTTAATGTTCTTATCTAAAGATTAATAGGAAAATTTCACAAACACATTATTAGACAAATAGAAGCCATATTGTTTACACAATTTATTAGGGACACTTGGATTAAGACAAATATTTGTCCAAATGTCGTAATACTTGAACTTGTGGAGAAGGCCTGTATGCAAACCCCGTCAAAAGCCTTTGAGATATCTAGGCCCACAGATCAAGCTTTAATGTTCTTATCTAAAAAGATTAATAGGAAAATTCACAGCTGTTAACACATTAGTGGTAGACCTTTGGGAAATAGAATATATATTGTTTACAGGATTAAGACAAATATTTGTCCAAATGTCAATACTTGAACTTGTGGAGAAGGCCTGTATGCCAAACCCCGTCAAAAAGCCTTTGAGATATCTAGGCCCAAGATCAAGCTTTAATGTTCTTATCTAAAGATTAATAGGAAAATTCACAGCTGTTAACACATTAGTGGTAGACCTTTGGGAAATAGAAGCCATATTGTTTTACACAATTTATTAAAGGACACTTGGATTAAGACAAATATTTGTCCAAATGTCGTAATACTTGAACTTGTGGAGAAGGCCTGTATGCCAAACCCCGTCAAAAGCCTTTGAGATATCTAGGCCCACAGATCAAGCTTTAATGTTCTTATCTAAAGATTAATAGGAAAATTCACAGCTGTTAACACATTAGTGGTAGACCTTTGGGAAATAGAAGCCATATTGTTTACACAATTTATTAGGGACACTTGGATTAAGACAAATATTTGTCCAAATGTCGTAATACTTGAACTTGTGGAGAAGGCCTGTATGCCAAACCCCGTCAAAAGCCTTTGAGATATCTAGGCCCACAGATCAAGCTTTAATGTTCTTATCTAAAGATTAATAGGAAAATTCACTGATAGCTGTTAACACATCAGTGGTAGACCTGGAGAAATAGAAGCAAAGCAGTAATGCCACTACAACACAGGGGGTTAATGGGTGCGAAAGTGAATGAGAACGAGAAGACTGGAAATGGGGAGGATTTAGGAAAGGACAAAAAGGAACGGGGTTCAAAAAGACAGAAGATGGTGATTGATATTGCATCTAAACTTTTGATGATTGTAGTTATCAGGGAAGCAAGAAATCGGAAGGTAGTTACACAGGTGGGAAGTGATGAAATCCCAGCTTACAACACCTGGTATTCTTAAGTGCTCACCCATCTAAGTACTGACCATGCTTGATGTTGCTTAACCTCAGTGAGCATACAGGAACTGGTGTTTTAACGTGAAGTGGCCATAAGGATCTGTCAGTAGGACAGGAGTAAACTCTAAAATAAATGTCAGGGTGAAAAACCAAATACCAGGAGCTTGCTTGAGAGATTCAGAAATGTAGCAACAATGGTAGCTGTACTAATTAATTAATTAATTAATATACTAATTAATTAATTAATTAGCCTTGAGGTCAGAGAGAGCTTCAATTTTGTTATCTCAAAGGAAACCAGGGTTAAAAAAATCCAAGAACTAAAAAAATGAATAATATAAAAAGTGTTATTGCTAAAGATGGCAAATATCTTGCAGAAGATACAAGAATTCTGAGGAAACTACATACCCCTTAACTGTATTCAGAGAATTACAGTGTGAAAAGGTGTAAAAATGCTGATCAGTGCCTTATGAATTTTAACTTCAAAATATAAAATGAAAAAATAAATTTACATTTTTCTAAAACCGAAGTTTTGAAATTTCTTTTTATATAGACAGGAATAAAATAGAAGCAATTTATATTGTTTAATAAACCTGTTAAATTATTATTTTACATATTTTTGTAAGTGAAAAAGGAAAAAAAAACGTTTATTAAAGGAAAGACAATGAACAGTCCGGTGTTAGGGTTAAAGAAGAGTTACTTCCCTTTGTATTTGAACGCGCAACTGGCTTTCTCGACCGTAAACATCGTTGATACATAAATACAAGAGAAATAACAAATTAATCAGGATTTAATGACAGATTTTAGCCATTGTTCAAAGAATTGGCCACTGGTCAAGCGAAACCAGCAGGATAAACAAACTTGGCACGAAAAAACAAAAGCAAACACAGCAAATAAAAATGGACACGAAAGATACACACTCACATCCAGACACACACACGAAGTAATTGTGTTTATTGTTTCGAGTTTCTAAGGAATTTATAAACATCAGAATCTTTTACCGCCCTTTTTGCCAATGGGCGAAAACAAAAGACAACAATGAGATGAGACAGAAATAAAAACTTGGAACTGACTTCAGATTAATCTATAACGCGATCGGCAGTACGTCTTTTTTTTTTCACACCAGGCCAAACTAAAAGAATTGTGTTGCGAAAGAACCAAAGCCAGAAAGAACCATTTTTGTGGGCATTGGTACAAGATCCAAGGCTGCAATTCTTTCAACGGAGAGGACGGCCGAGACTAGAAACTGGCAGAATTTCGGCATGTCTGTGAGTATTTTGTGAGTGTAGGCCTGTGATCAAGAAAGCAAAGGGTGTGTGTGTGTGTGTGTGTGTGTGTGGGTGGGCAGGGGTAAAAGAATGTTTGAAGGGCAGGTGGGTTGAGCTCTGCTGACAAAAAGGGGATCCTATTAAGATTTGTTGGAAGTTCAGACAAGATTTGAGCCAAGATTTCATTGATCCACAGCAGCTAATGAAACGTTCCACGTTTATATATATATATATATATATATATATATATATATATATATATATATATATATATATATATATATATATATATATAGATGAAGATCAAATATGGATCAAATCTGACAGGATGAGAAAATAACGAACAAATAAGAAATATATATCAATCTAACATGTTTCAAAACCCTCAAGTGAAACAAGAATATATTTCCTATTTGTTCTTTTATTTTATATATTATATTATATATATATATTATATATACATATATATATATATATATTATGTATATATATATATATATATAACATATATATATATATATATATATATATATTATATATAATATATATGTGTGTGTTGTATATATATATATATATATATGTATTATTTATGTATATATATATATATATATATATATATATATATATATATATATATATATATATATTATATATATATATATATATGTTATTCTATATATATATATATTTATATATATATATGTATATATATATATATATATGTGTATATGTGTATATATATATATATATATATATATATATATATATGTATATATATATATGTATATATATGTATATATATATATATATATATATATATATATATATATATATATATATATATATATATATGTATATATATATATATATATATATATATATATATATATATATATATATATATATATATATATATATATATATATGTATATATATATGCCTGTATATATATATATATATATATATATATATATATATATATATATATATATATATATATATATATATATATATATATATATATATACGTGTGTGATATACACATACTAGTAGCATAGATTTTGATTCCTGATAGGATTACACATCTACAATATGTATATATATATCATCCCATTATATAATTAGCCTGAGACAGTTATATATACACTAGGTGTTTATATAATTTATGCCAGTGGTGGTCAAACTTGCGTAATGTAATGTAAATGTAAATGCCACACACGTTTTTTGTTAAATACACATGAACATTAAACTTATGTTTTAATCCAATGGGGTTTCAATACATACCCAGTAAATATTAATTTCTTTTTATTTAACCTTTATATTAAAGGTCAAAGAGCTTGCAGACTGTGTTTTGGCCACCCTTGATCTATGATATCATAGGTAGGATTTATTAAACAAATTTCGTCAAAATTTTACACAGGATGTGCAAAAAGCTTAGAAAATTATGATTAAGTTAATACCATTGGTAAAAGGTTTATTCAATAAATATTTGAAAAGTTTTAGTTACTATAATAATAATTTCTAATATATAATATATTAACAAAACTTTAATAGGAGCATTTAGGTTCACCTATCGCCCGGTTCATACTCCTCCCTGATTTTTGAAGAGGAGTAGAGGTTTATCCTTTGTTTCCTGTTTAAGATTGGGTTTCTGGTTGCTTCTAGAGTTTACTTCAACTCTATATTCCTAACTTCTCCGCCTGAAGTCTGAAATTTTATTCACTAATTATATCTTGACTTTGTCACTGGGTGCCCCATACTTTCGGCCTTGTGCCATATCTAAGCTACACTTGGAAAATCAGTATATCTTGACCTCTATCTTTCCTGTTACCTTATCCTTTCTTATGCTAATACAACTCTGCACAGTAATCCTCTAACTTGAGTGGCTCTTAGGCCTTGTATTGGTGAACATGAATTTAAAAAAAAATACCTGTGAAAATTTCATGCTTTTTCTATTTGAATTTTCTGGTGAATCTTAATTTTCAAATTAATGATTGAATAATCTCCCTGCGAGTTCCATAATGTTAAAATACACATGAAAATTTCCCTATTGCCTTGTTAAATATTTCAACTTAACAACTTTAACTAAATACTGCAGTAACAATCATAAGTATGAATGCAGGTCGTTATTTAAAGAAGTAAGAGGATACAAATGAAGAAATCAAAAGCTGACAAAGTTTTTCATTTCACAGAGGCAGACAGATAAACACATGGGAGTGTTATCACCTCGTCTTTCATTCTTTCTTTTCCATTCCTTTCTCTAAAACCAAACAGCACCTTTGATATATTTTTTCGAACATCTATCCTTGAAATCAAACGGGAATGGTTCATTGTTTATCTGAGGTAATGGCAAGGCATAATGTACATACTAACAAAGGAACAAGCAGAACTAGGAGACACAGAAGATCCTTGCAGTAAATTGAAAGTAATTATGATTATTTTACTGCCAACTTCATTTGAGTACAATATCTTCATTGATTTCTGTTTTTCTTGGGGCTAACCCACTGGTTTTACCGTTACTTCACCACTCAGCTTTTTACTGTTTCCTTTGTCTATAGAAAAAAAAAAAACTTTTTTCAGTGTTTAACTTAGAATTTGTCTGTAGCAAGTTTGTCATATAATATATAATGATCTAGATTTTGACGTGGTCATTCTGGTAGGTGTGTGTGTGTGTGGGGGGGTGAGAACGATTTCTGAAAATGGTTTATTACGTTTATTATAATACAAACATAGTCTTGAGAAAGTTGCATTTCTTCTCGATAATTAAGGGGGTCCAGGTAAGGAGAAATAGTCAAGTCGGTTCCCCAGCAGCATTTTGCAAAAATATTGCCTCGGTTTCACAACCCCGACATGTGTCAAAGATCTATTAACAATAATTGAAATGTATCATAACTATAGCTCAAAGGAATAGTCGCCATGATGGTAACATTAGTTGATGATAACCTATTTCTTTGCCCAACAGCAGCTTAGTAACATATGTTCCTTTTTGGTAACAATTGCGAATTAGTCTGATGATGGACATTTGCTGGTTAAGTTAAGAACTTAGAAACTGAACTGCCAGAAAGTGCAGAAAGCAAAGCCTTTTTGATAACATGGACTGACCGCTCTTGCCACTACATCCGGGCATAAGGCTATAGTTTTGTAAGGTACACCTTATTTGCCATGATGTACTAATGTACAGGGCCTACCGAGTGACTGCTGTGTCGTGCGCCAAAACAACCCCCTCTTTTTTTTACATAAAATTCAATATGTATGCAAATGTGTGTATGTATATACAATGGTGCATCAGTGAATTTCTAACATGATATATGGGTGTGTGTGTGCAAAAGTAGGTATACAATAATGGATGAAACATATTGATTATACAATCATCTCAATAATAAACATATCAAACCCTCAAATGTTCAAACTTTTTGCCCGTCATTCACAAACTCCTCTTTACCTACAGAACATTTATCATTATTATTATTGTTATTATTATTATTATTATTATTTCCTTTGATTACTGGCGTGTACACATTACTTTCTGGGTCTTGTCCAGGGACCTAAGGTTAGAAATGGCATCATGACACTTTCCAGTGACAAAAAAAACAAATTTACATCGATAAAACCCTTTGTAAAGTGTGGGCTGTACTTGTCAGAAGAATTTTTGTATCTCTTTGAGGCATAGACTTCCAGGAATCCCTTCAATTAGTCTACTGGAATCTTTTCCAACCAATCCTAGGGCTCCAACTACAACAGGGATTGTTGATGTTCCCATGTGCCACATTTTTTAGATTTCGATTTCAAGGTCCTTGTATTTTGACAGCTTTTTGAATAT